CTTGGGCCTTCTATCCACTTCCTACTGATTCACATGAGAGTTGGCTTCATGGAACTTTGCAATCAGCTTGAAACTAAGTTGGGAAGCTGCCTGAGTTGCTCCATATGTCCCTACACTAGTCTGTGAATCACAACAAAACTGTTCTACCCTGGTCACAAAGACTGTGCTGTTTGTAGAGAGAAAGCCAGTGGTTGCTTTTCCCAAGGTGCAGAATGCATGGCCTTACCACACTTAATTTAAGTCCCAGCTACATAGCTGTGTGTAGGCAGCCAGCTTCCAATTCCAAAACCAGCTGGAAGGATCCTGTCTTTACATCTAGCTTCCTTTGCTCTCCCCCACAAACGTCTTATTTAATTACAGGCAAACCTCCAAATGTATGGTTTACCACATGGTTCTCCCATGCTGTGGAAGTGCTAGTAGTTAATTGTTCCCATTTCCCAAATTATCTATATTTCAGCCTTCTAATTCTGGCATTACACCAGATCTTAAAGTGGCTTTAAGTACAGAGAGAACAAGGAACATCTACATAATAAAACTCTCACCTACAGACTGGAGAATGAAAGCTCAGAAGCTTTCACATTGCTAGATTAGCAAGATGCACATCCAGCATTAGTTTGATGTGCATGCCTCAAGAGAGATTCCGCAAATAATGTTTTTAAAATGAAAACGTGCACACATTTCTACTTCTTACTTAGAAGATCAAATGTTTAGTTTTTGTTTACAGGTTGTGAACCATCTTGCATAACTTAAGTACTTCTTACGTACTGATTGGTCACCCACCAATGAGGATCATTGGCCTGTTCTTCATTTGGGAGATGTTGAACATGCCTGAGAAGAAAATAATGAACATACAAAAGTTATTAATACTGCTGGATTTTATATCAATGGAAATAATGCCAAAAAAAAAAGATTGCTGGTGATGGTATGGACGCATTCTAAGTATTAAGCAATCATCTCTTGAAGTGGTAGTTATGAATGGGGAAACAGAGAAATGTAACTTGGGCAAAGCAAAACCAGGCTATGTGAAACAATTCACATGAAAAATGAAAAACAGCAGCCTGTAATGTACTTTGAAGGACTTACCCCAAAAGTAAAATGCCAATTATGACATATAATCAAAGGACTCAAGTTGTAAAACAGTGGCAGGAAAGTTTTCAGCGGCTAGGGGCAAAACTTATTTAGATTTTGACAGCCCAGGACTGCAGTGACATCATGTCAAGATTGGCAGGGCCAGTGTTTGTGGTTCCTTTCCTCCCTTCTGTCCCATATACATCCTTAAAATGAACTCTGAACAAACTAGGTAACGTATTTACGGAACGTATGAAGATTGCAAGGAATGGAAATCAACGCTTCCTGATTCTTGTCAGCATAAAGTTCAGCAGAACCATTGTAGTATGGCGCAAACTCTTTTGAATTTAAAGTGTTTCAAGCCCAAAACAGCTTTTCTGTTACTACTGAGTGTCCCGATTTTGTTCAGACCTATCCAGAAGATTTCTGAGATCAAAGTAACTCTGTTTTTGAGCCTGGAACACTTTCTGGATGAACTGGAAAGTACTGGGACTCTGCCAGTAAGATTAGAATAACTGTTTTGAACTCAAGAGCTGTGATGTTTTGGGCTTGATCAATTTTGATTTGGAAGCATTTTACAAATCCTTAAGTCATAACATTTGATTTCACTTTAGGACTTTTGCACTGTATTGCGCTTACTCCTAAACTGTGGGTCCAGTTCAGCCTATGAACCCTGGAAAAAAAGAAAAACCTGACAAAATGGCTTACCTGCATGTTGTTTCTTTTTCCTGCCAACAGCTGCTCCAATAATCTGGATCAACTCCTCTTCCGAGGCATTAAATCGTAAGTGATCCCGCAAGGATACTTCTGAACTTCCAAAAAGGCAGACCTGAAATGGGAATAGAAGATGAGCTGAGAGAATGAGAGAATGAATAACACCACTCCACATCAATTTACATAGGTGTAGCACTACAGAAAAGTTCATTAAACCCTCGAAGCATTTTAGTTCCACATTGCCTTTCAAAAAAAAAGGCTGGTTGCTCCAACAATGAATCAGCTTTGCAACTTACAGTAACTGGCAATGACTGTACAAGATACCAGCTCTCATCATCCTTATCTTGAAGAGGCAACCAGGCAACCCCCACCCCTTCCGACGGTGGAAAGCACCCATATAGCAGCACTTCTCGCTGAAGACAAGAGGCCAATTTTAGGTAAGACTCCATTCCATTCCAGACTACCAGAGATAACAGTAGGTGTTAGGCTTGCAAGGTAGTCCAGACATGAAGCACACCCAGATGAACTAATTCTACTTTATTGTAAGGTTGCATTAACAGAATCTTGCAAGTCTGAAAGTACATTTCTCCCCTGTCACTTTAACAGCCCAAGAAACTACAGAGGGTCCCTTCTGAGATGCTTGCCATGCCTACATTCCTTTTGCAGGCCAAGCTGCCTCTTATCCAACTGTTCCCTGGTTGTGGCTCTTCCCTGTCTCCCAAGGTCATTCCCACATATCATTACAGTAGGAGAGCAACTGCAAGGCCACCTTTGAGAACTGCAGGAACTCAACAAGGGTGTTCACTAATGTAGGCTTGCTTATTCAGTTTTACAAAGTTCTTTCAAGTATGAGGACTTAGAAGTTGGTACAGGTTGGAAGCTAACATGTAACATTCTCAGGTTGGGCATGCCTCCTACACAACATTTTCTTTGGCCAGTGGTAGGATGTTTGAATGATCTGCAAACATTTTGAGGTCAAACTTTGAAATAGACCATTCCAACCTCCATTTTGCAGTTAGAACATTTTAGAAAGTTTTGGGGTCAGAATGGCATTTGGAGTCAGGACATTTTGAATTTAAAATGTTTGACTTGCATCTAACATGCTGTGTATCAGAAATACTTTTTTTTTTTTTCTGGGTTGAAGACTGCACTTGGGTTTTGATTGATATGCCAAGGGCTGCCCTTTAGGAAATGGAGTGCAGTCAGGACAATTAAGTGGATGGAGCCAGGACAAAAATTAAATTTATTTTAACATAAATTAATGTACTTAATATTAGGTGTTTAATATTTTCTATTGAACTAAAAAATTCCCCTTCCTCTGGAGGGGCTCTGGGGCTTTTCAGCCTCTGGGCCACAAGTTATGTGCATTATGTGCTATAGAATGATTTTCCAAGTTCCAATCAGGTTATATTTTCCAGTTCTTTGCAACTGGTGTGCACCTGATAATTGCTTCCATGAGAGGGGAAAAAAGGCAAAAACTGTAATTTCTTCAAATGTAAAAAGCCTTGAGGAAGGCCAGGGAGCAGAGCAGCCATTCTCCTCACAAAGAAATGTCATTCCACATGACATGGCTCAGATAATTGTTAGCCTTTCCCAGACTTCCCTACCCTGGCATCCTTGGACATGTTTAATTACAGCTCCCATCATGTTCCTCCAGTATGACCAGCATGTTGAATACTGCAGTACAATAGTTTATAGAGGGTGCAGGGCTAGGGAAGGCTGAGCTAGGCAACATGTTGAAGTGCTGGGAACTGAAGCTAATTTAATGTAGCTGTTGCCAAACTACACTTCATCTGTCCTCTCTCTACAATGGTATTTATATTAATTTCCATGGCAAAACCTTGGGAACTTTTTATGAGTTCCATCAAGAGATGGATGTACACAGTTTTCACTTCAACTTCATTTCATAAAATGTCATAGTTATACTCATCACAAACATGGTCCAAGTTTTCATTGTTCCCAGTTCATATTTGCATTTATTACAGAATCCAGACGACCATGAAGATCTTAGTTTAGATTAATAATTTGTTACTATTCGTTTGGAAGGCTGATCGATTAAATATGTGCTATTGAGGCTTGTACAACCACTGAACCTTAACAAATGACTAGTATATGTCAAAGGAGCCTTTTCCATGCCTGAGAATTCTGGGAGTTACAGACACAAGGCATCTGAAGGTTACCAGCATGGCAAAGGCTGCTTTGGAGGCTGTACATTTGAGACAAATGTACCTGTGTCAAAACCCAATGGCATTTCTTCATTACAGCCATGAGTTTCATGCCCAGCAAGGATATTTCGTGTATTGTATTTTTTGTTGGCTTGCATCATGATAACTCTATCAAGTTTCCAGGATTAGGTATATAATTTTAAATTCCTAATTTTTACCACTGATATTTTAACTGTATAATTCTTAATTGGGCAATGGATGTTTTAATCAATGGCTTTCGGTAAACCACTGGGAGCCCCTGGCAGATATGGAAGTATACTACTACTATCATCTACTGTATATTTATCTATCTCCTGGCCATTAGATAACAGAAAAGCCCTAGTTCAGCATTGTAAATGGTCCAGCACTGTAAATTTAAATAACACGTGTTATTAGCTGGCTCCCACCTGTAAAGACTTCTAGCTTTCTTTTGTGGATTGGCAGAAGGAAGATAAAGAACTGTGTTACTCTTTGCCTCTACTGGCACCCTGCTAGTTTACTATGATTAAGTTCAAGCTAAGAATAGAATATGTTATCATTCCCCAATATCCCACTTACTTACTGCATGCTGCTTCATGTCACCTAAGGCTACTGGGGAAAGATTCTTGATTCCTCGCAACTATACCAGCACTTCGTTGTAGTTTTCTTGGCAGTAAAGCAGAAAGAGTTTGCCATTGCCTCTTTCTGGCTTTTTTTTTTTTTTGTAAATGTCTCAGTCTAGCCTATAGTACCAACATTTCTTGGTGGTCTCCTGTCCAACCACTACATCCAATTTTGCTTAGTCTTTTTGACATCAGCAAGTATCAGCTAAGTGTTGCCACCTACTGGTGCTTTAGTTCAAGGCTGTCCCAGCATGACCCAAAGTACTGGCTTGCATATTTCAAGGACATTAAGATCAAGCTCTGTAAGTAATTTAAGCTAATGAACTTGCTCCGACTTAGTGTCAACAGATATTAATACAATGCTTGCTGTCACTAATTGTGTGAGTTGGAACTTTTAAGTACCAAGTCTGAACTAATTACAAATAACAACTTTCAATGTGACAGAAAAGATTTATCATCCTCTCCCAGCTCTCTCCTCCCATCTCACTACTTGGTCTGTACCCCACATGTCTGATTTAATGAGCTCTGTAAATAGAGTTGGGTATCAGGGAAACAGGGAACAGCACAAGCCTTCTTAAGGTCCTACCCTATGCCTCCTGGTTTGGAAAGGTTTGCCAATTACCACACAAGACAATTTCACATAAAAAGACTAAAATATGTTTACTTCCTGTAAATTTCCATATTTGAATACACTGCATTAGAGAAGAAAGAAAAACAAATTTTCAGGAACAGCAAAAGTACTGTTTGCTTCAAGTAGTAAACAGAACAAGGATTGTTATATAATTTACTACTTCTGTTTAGGAAGTATTTATCCAAGTGTATAAAACTGTTCTGAATGCAATGCTAACTTTTTATGAGCTCTATGCATGTCCATCCATTCACCAAGTTGAGTCATTTAGGCCACTAGTCTACCTCCTTTTGGACTCCTATAGGAGTCCAAATTAAAGCAGTCCTGACAGATGAGTGGCTAGCCTTTGCTTGGAAACATCCCGTGAAGGCTACCATTTCCCTGGATAATTGATTCCATGATGAAACAGACAAAGCAGCAGGGCTACCTTCAAGTTCCCATCAGCCGTGATCCTCAGTCGATTGCAGGATCCACAGAAATGCTCAGACATGGAAGTGATGAAGCTGACTTGCCCCTGAAAATGTGGTACCTTATATGACTGTTAAAAGCCAAGCATGAAAGAAAAATGGAAAAAAAAAAGAAGCAAAGTTAAATCACATCATTTCTACTTCATTCCTAATATTTGTTCTAGCTTGTGAAGACAGAAGTTAGGGGTGTGCAAAATGTTTTGAATTCAAACTCTTTCAAATTCAAAACACCTTGCTTCAAGCACAAAACAGCTGTTTCCAATATGAAATTTATTTATTAAATGCATTAATTAAATTTATAGGCTGCCTGACTCCATCATGACTCTGGGCAGCATACAGTATAAATTTAAAACAATAAATTGCAAACAATACAAAAAGCAGATGTCCAGAAAAATAATGCCCATTTTGACAAATTGTCACAACAAGAGGTCTTGCCACCCACTCTAGCTCAAGTCCTGGGGGAAGAGTCAATTAAGGGCTCATCTGAATAAGGTCAGGGTGGGGGCCATACAAATCTCTGGGGGGATATCATTCTAGAAGGCAGGTGCTATGACAAAGAAGGCCCACTTCCTGGTCCCATAATAATGTCCTATGACATTATTTAATCAGTGGGGCCCAGAATATACCAAATCTGCTGGAATGTAAAGGACAGGCAGACTGGACCCGACCACAAAGAAAAGAA